ATTTACTAACCTGTAAATGCTAATTAACATGTTAGCTAATGTAACTAACATTTACTAATCTATCTATCTATCTATCTATCATCTTTCCATCCACAAATTAACCACACAGGATTACAGAACAGTCTGGGCTGAAGGATCATCAATCCAACTTCATATTCTCAGTGCCACATCCAGAAATATTCAAAGGGATTTCGTAATATATTTCAATTTTGAGCTTGCATGCAAACCACTCCCTGCACCTGCTGTTACCAGTGGTTATTATTTGACATTCTGTAACTTTCTCATCTCATTCACATATTTTTAATAGTTATGTTCTCTGATCAGACGGCTTCCAAGCCCAACATATAACTACCAAAATATCTTCACAACAGCCAAAGGCAGATGAAATCTATACCATATTTATAGGGAAATAAACATTTGTGCAACAACTGTCAGGTGTGCCAGTGCTGGTTTACTTCCTCTACAGATACATGAGAGCATAAACACAGGAAATTAAAAAAGCATTTGAAGCAGGGGTACTACATCAGCACAGGGCATGAACTCAAGCTGCATCCAGAATTTCTGGATGAAGCAGAATGCTGGTCAGGGTGGCATCCCAGGTGTTTGGATTCAGTCAGATGCAGTGGTTCACTGGGACACATGGATCCTGCTGTGACATTACCTTCCATTCCATGCCAGTCAGAGCAAGCACTGCCAGAAGCAGTCCAGATTGACAACAAGCCCTTACAGCTAATGAGCCCCTGTCTATCTGTGTTTAAGCTGGCTGCCTTCCCCCTTTATGAACACCAGAGCAGCACTGCCTGCTTCCAGTTCCCTATTAAAAGTATTTTTATCACTCTTCAACAATATGCAGTGCTCTTTCTTACCGAAACCCCAATTACCACATTGCACACTCAAGTTAAATATCAACAGGTAAAACTCTCCCTAAACCTGCTCAACTCTGGGTTCCCAGCTAAAGGGTTAGGCACACAGCTGAGAGCACATTAATTGATGAGAAATGTCATCTTACATCAGTCCTATTGCATAGTCATGGACATTATTTAATCCCCCTTGGAAGAGGCTTAAGCAAAAAGACACCTCTCTGGTGCTTGAGGGAGGACTCAAGCCATTATTATACATGTTGTCCACTTGACAGCTAAAAATTCCTTCAAGATAAGCCTTAAGAGTTATGCATGTATGAGTGCAGCAGAAAAGCACTGTAGCCTGTTACTTATAAAGGTTTGGTCGTTGAAGTTTTGCTTTTTTTAAAGGCACTGAATTGGTCAAAATCCTGTCATGACTGGCACTGCTAAAGAAGAACATTAAGTATGCAATCAGTTCAAAAAGGAAAATGAAATTAGCAACCAATGGATCAATACTGGTTCATCAGGAACCAGGCTTGATTCCATCTCTGTTATTCACCACTTTCAGGGACAGACAGACTTTTAAAAAGACTAAACAGTATTACAGTCATCCCTCTCATCATCTAACTCTGCAGAATCCCTTCTTAGATTGCTCTGCTGATGACAAAACTGTTTGCGCCTCTCCAGTAGCTGCAGCTGTGCCCACAGGGGTCCAACCAGGAGCAAGAGAGCACTCAGTGTGCCCTGTAGCTGGCCCTGCACCCTTTAACCTTGCAGTTACTTCAGTCACTGCTGCACACACCCCAGCAGTCACACAAACACCCTGCAGACAGCCCTGCAGCTGCCCTAGGACTTCCCTTCTGTCCTGCAGCTGGCCCTTGCTCCTCAGTCTCCTGGTTAGGAACGCCTCCGAACAGCTGCCTCTGTACCTGCTCCAGGAAAGATGGATGCAAGAAGCCACATTTTCTATTTGCTATTTTCCATCTTTTATCCCATGGATCCTGTTTTGCAAGGACCTACAGCAACAACTTCTGTTCCAGCTTCCCCTTCTACATCCTCCCATGACCATTCTACAACAGCATCTGAAGGCCTGTGTCCCAGGGTGATGTTCCCATGCTGTATCCCTGCTTTATGCCCACACCTGGCCCTGGAACTTGGGGCCAGGGGAACTCCTCGGTGCAGTTTGAGTGCAGCTCTCACAGACTCCCCAGCTCTCTCTGCTGTTGTGTCTTTGCTTTTAGCAAGCTCTTGTGTGTTAGCTGAGGCAAGAAGTTTTCCTGGGACTGTGGCTGCCTCTTCTGGAAGGGTTCAGCTCCCAAAGCCATCACCAGGAGCCGCACGCCCGGCGGGGGAGGCTGCAGGGATGCCCCATCCCGGCTCTGGACCTCGGGAGAAGCCGAGCAGGACTCTAAAAGCTTGCTCCACAACGAGAAGGTCTATTATCAAACATTATTCATTCTCTTTTTTTTTTCTGTGCCTGCATGCACTCTGCTTGTCAAATAAACAGGTTTTTATCACTTTCCTCCCAGAAACTCCTTTTGAACCTGTGAGGAGGGGCTGACAAAACATACCTTTCTTTAGACGACAAGTTCACTTCAGGACATTTCCTCCTAATTTGTCTCAAACTGAGACAGATTGGCAAACAGATTATTTTTTTTCACTCTGTCATAAAGACCCTTTTTAGAATGAAAACTAGACTGCCTTACATTTCAAATGCCATCATTTTTCTTTCACCCCACCTTTTTACTTTCACCAGAAGAAAAAAATGAAGGATGATTTTGGTCAGGGGATCCTAAAGGAATAGCTTAAGTGTAATTCTAAAACACTTTTGAAAATGACTCTCCAGGACATTTGAAAACAAGCTTAATGGTGTTTGATTTCAGTTTGAAGGAACTTTACAAAGTTCAGATTCTGTCACATCTCAACTGCTTGAATAAGGTCATAGTACTCACATGCAGCATAGCTACGTTCATGTGCAAGGCAAGAAAACTGAGAGGAAACCAGAAAACTGACAGGAAAAATTATACTTGTTTATATTTCCATATAGAATAGGCTTTACTAATTTCAAAAATAACTCTGCTGAAAAGATTAGGGCTGATTTTAGTACACAGGCTAGCAAAGCTGTAGAATACCTGCAGAATACACCTGCGTTCAACAACGCAAATGGCTCTCTTCAAAACAACCATCACAGCTGTCGTTATTCCTTCTTCACCCCACAAGGGTTTGAGCATCTCACACTGACACCTATTCGCTTAAACCACGGGCAAGGAGGCTCGCTCCCAGAGCGCAGGATGAAATCCCTGTGCAGCTCACCCCTGCTTTTGTCTCTTTCCCAGAGGTTCTTTCCCAGTCCCCAGGATGCAATCCCTGCTTTTGTCTCTTTCCCAGAGGTTCTTTCCCAGTCCCCAGGATGCAATCCCTGCTTTTGTCTCTTTCCCAGAGGTTCTTTCCCGGTGCGATTCCCGCTGCACCGCACGGAGCCGCCACCCGAGGGCGCCGCAGCGCTCCCCGCTCCCATCCCCGGGCACCGGGAATTCCGCCTTTCGAGGCCTGCCCTCCCTCCTCAACACACAAATAATCAATCCACGGCAGCTCACGCCAGGCCAGCAGGCAGCACGGTGTGCAAGGAGCATTTGAAACTAAAGAAATGGAGCGAACAGAAGCGAGGAGCGTGCGGGAGGGACGGGACGGCAGCGCTGGAGGATCAGCCGGGCTGGCTGAGGAGGCCGCTCTGCACCGATTTCATTCACGGGACAAGTACACAACACCCTTAAACATCACTTTCTGAACTGCACACGACGAAACAGCCCACTCCTACATCGGTTTCAAGCCAGGAGCAAGATCTCAAGCAGAATTCCTTAAAGCAGCAGCTTTTAGTCCTGCTCTATCGCTTGGTTACACTGTGCAACTGCTCGAGTCAGTGTTCCCCAGTTAGGGCAGCTCATTCATCAGCGCACCCCTGCAGAAAGGACATTTATCAATTCCGGGGTAAATAAATTCATTCCCACCGATTCCTCTTTTCGTTGTTCAGCTAGTTACATTTGTTACCTTAATCCAAATATAAATCCACTTGAAATTACAAACTGAATCACAAATTAGGTCAAACTTCAAAAGGTAATGATTAATAGACTTCAATAATGCAGTTTGCTTATCACTTTATCTCCACAGCAAGGTGCAAGGTTTGTGAGAATGACCTGAGCCCTGCAGCTCTTTCCTTCAGCACTTCTGCTGGCACTGGAGATGGATCAAGTCTTTCACTGCTGCAGACCCTCTGCGTGTAGAAGAGATCAATGTATCTTAATGAACTGTGCATACACAGAAGAGTAATTAGCTTTTGCCCTTTTTAAGAAATTATTTTTACATTAAAGATTTGGTTCTGTCCTCCCAGTGACCCTCAAACATACAGGTGAGCAGGTAATGACAACCTGCAGCTGTAACTGGAATTTAGCTCCAGATTTCCTTAAATTCCCCGTTCCAGGTTTCTCATCAGTGCCCTGACCACAGCGGAGGCCCTTTCGGCTGAAGAGCTATCAGTGCTCCCTAGCACCCCAGGACAAGAGAGATGGAGCTACTGCAAGAGTCCCTGACAGCCAAAATGCTCAGGGGTCTGGAGCACCTGACATGAGGGTAGAGCTGGGTCTGCTTAGCCCAGAGAATACAAGGCTCAAGGAAATCTCATCAAAGTGCATAAATACCTGAAGGGAGCTCTAAGAGAGATCTTTACAGTGCTGCCCAGTGACAGAAGAGGCAGTGGGGGCACAAACACAGGGGGTTCCTCCTCAACATAAAGGAAAAGTTACAGGGTCTCTACCTTTGCTAGTTATATTGGGCTTTAAAAGGTCCCTTTCACCTAATTTCTACAGCCAGCTCACCTTCCAAATTCTCCCTTCCTGTTTTCCCTCCAGCACACAAGCAGGGATGATGACAAGCAGATCCAGCCTCTTAGACAGAAAGGTTATCACTCCAATGTGGTACAAAAGGCCCAAATATTCTATCAGGATTTCCAGCTCAGTATTCATGAAGTGTTTACTTGCTCCTGCCCAGACTGGGGCCCAGGACAGATCAAGTGCAGAAGTCAGAAATGCAACAAGCAGCTTAACAATATCCACCTTGTTGCTGCAAACAGCTAAGGAAGTCACAATGAACATAACACACAAATACACAAAGAGACCCCAGAATTTTATTTAAAGAAACATGTTCAAACGCAGCATTGAAAACAGAGAGAGTGGAATGCCAAGAGTCAGAGAACTTATGCTGAGTTATGTTTTCTTTGACAAACTAGCACCATTGAATCACAACTCACAGACTAATTTATTTCTAGAGGTTAAAAAACCTCCATCATTATAAAATTTCTAGGAATTCTATTAAAAATTGGTTCTCAATTTGCTACTCCTACAGAGATGAAAGAAGTCTGAAGTTTTCATATCTACTCATTGTTCAAATTACCCATAACAGACAGTTTATTCTTAAGTCTAAACATCCTGATCAAGGGGAAAAAAATGTCTAAAAAGTGATTTCCACAAGTCTTTACAAACTAAACAAGTAAGAAAGATCTACTGTGTTATAAATATACACAGTACAATATATACAAGTCTGGTCTTACAAAATAAGAGTTTCCTAGTCCATAAAAATACTAACTCAACTACAAAGATTTCTCATTATTGAGTCAAGCTGTCTCAAGCAGTCACCATAGCAATTTCCTAAAACTCTGATTTGTTCCATAGCACAACAGCTTGAACGTGTTCACAATGGGAAAGAGCCCAACACTACACCATAACACTGATTTCTAGCCCTAATTTCCCACTCATCTTTAGTGGTACTGTTAGTGTTTGCTATCTATTGTAACGTCACAAGGCCTTTACATGTTTCTAGACTGTGTTTGAACTATTCAAAGTGCTGAAAGTGCGATCAAAGAGTAGAGTTTTGTATCCCTTTTCCAGTACACCCTTCTCTGGCACTGGCAACAATAGCCAAGGGTTTCTAGGTCTGTGAGGTGCAAAAGGCACACGCTCATTTGTACGTGCTCAGGGAAGTATTCACACACACATACATGCACTTTGCTTTAAGGACCTGCCCCATAGTATTAGAAGGCTTCCTCTGAGTAAAAAAATTCAAAAATCCCTTACAAATGCCTCAATGCAGACACCTGGAATTCCTCATAACCCTGACATGAGCTGCTTAAAATGACTGTGAGATGGCAGTGGAAAAAAAAAAGTAGTTTAAACTTACTCTATCCAAGTATTGCTCTGGAACAGAGAAACACAAAGTCTGTGCTCTCTCACTCTATCAGGGAAGGGCCAGGTTACATTCACCCACATGGTTTATCACAACAGTTAACAGCATTTGTGAGCATCCACATACACATAACCCTTGGCATTTGTTCTTCTACTGAAGGCCATCTGCAGCCTGAATGAAAATAAAACTATGTGGAGAATGTTCCAAGCATTACCCTTCTGTACTTACACCTAAGAATACAAGAAGTAAGAAAACTGAAGTGTGCCTCTGCCAGAAAACAGATCACTGGCATAAGTTACCACTGCCCCCTTTCCTCCTTTCTCTACAGTGCTCTCCTATGACATGCATCATAGTAGCTTGTACTGTTAAAAATTAGGAACATATCCCTCTTGACAAAGTCAACAAATTTTTCTAGTGGGCACATTGGCTTGTTGGAACGTTTATAGTGATCCTTGCAAAACGAGGTCTGGAATGTGACATCAGCACCGTTGTACAGGATGCGGATAAAGTGTTCTTTGGGCCTCTTCCCATCCTGCCACAACTCAAAAACTAATCTGGCAGCAAATCTGGGAAATCTGGCCTCTGTAATGCCCAAGGCACTAAGAACAGGTGACAAGGTGACATCATGTGCAGAGTAGAGAACAAACACTTCTTCCTTCTTGCCTTCTGCAATACGCTGCAGCCGATTGACAGTCTGGTTGAGGAGGGGATGAGTAGCCAGTAGTGCATACAAGAAATAAAGTTTCTTTTGCTGTCTTTCTCTCTCATCCTCCAACTGGTGTCTCTTGATTACTTTGAAGTGTTCCATACCAATGCAGCCAGCTTTGGTACAGGGAAACGAGACATTATGACAGAAATAGCACAAGAGAGAATCTATTGGGTTAGAAGCTCTCAGCTGCCTGGTGGGAATGCCCACAATCTTTGCCATATCCACATATATTTTCTCCAAATTGTTGTTTTTCACCCGTAAGCTGTACTGCCTGCGCTGCTCCTCCTCCAGGTAGTGGTTTCTCATGGGACAGTCACAGCTTGCCGAGCAGAAAATGGTGCTCCACTGGTGCCTCATGTTGATTTTCTTCCAGTCAAAATCTGGCAGAAAGGTGTAGAGCAGCGCCAATGCGCTCTGCAGGGTTCTGCTTTTCCCTGTGGTCTCCAGGTAGAGCTGCTTGGCTGTCCAGTCACCAGGGAGCAGCTTGTGTTTGTTGATATAAATTTCTCGGAGCAGCTGTCCGTTTCGCAGATGTTGTACAACCCCTGAATTTTGACAGAAATTACAACACATGATTAGAATCTTTGTAGTTTTGCAAAAAAAAAAAAAAAGAAAATTACAGCTAGTAGCCTTACTGGTAAATGAACAATTTTTAAAAGGTTATAAACTTACAAAACTGAACCACACTTACAAGGACTATTAAGAAAACTGTCTGAAACATGAGAAACCTGCTATTCTTCAGTATCTCTTAGGTTCTAGGAACTAACCTGAAATACAGAAAATAATTTGGTTCCATAAAATTTGCTTAAAACCTCAGTAGTTTAATATTAATTCTTTGGACTAAGACACAGACTGAATGGGTCTAACATGACTATAAAAGTGTTTTTGAAGACTGCACCTCAGACAGATTTTTCAGGCAGAGAATGCTGTGCCCCTGAAAATTTATGGCAGCCAATAAAACCACCAGCAGTCAGGACACAAATACACAGAACGCAAATTAGTGTGTAAATTCACAAAATAATTGTGAGGTGTAGCAATTGCATCAAGCTTCCTTCTCCATCTTCCTTCAGGGAGTATTTAAATTGCTTGATAATTTATGCTAAAGCTCTGTTTCTATCCAGCTGGAGAGTGTGTCCTTACGTGCCAAACCTCTGCTCCAGAATCCACATCTCTTGCACAGCAGCAAAGCAGTAGGAGTGAACCCCTCACGCACTAAAACACCTCTGCATGCCTTGCTACAAGCCACAGGAGTCCCCAGATGCCAGCTCAGTGACACAATCCGTGTGCTGTGTGCAATCTCAGTGGTGTCCTGCCTTCCTTTCTCCTGATACCACTTTACACAACTTGACAGTGGCCAAGGATTCCTTCCAAAGGGATCCCAGAACACACAAGGAGCTGACAGGCACCAGATGTGTAAAGGATTTCCATAACACAAACATCAGGTTTGTCTGCTACTCCAGCACCTCTTGTAGGGTCCCTCTGAATCACAACCCCATCAGTAACAGAGCACCAGATCTTCCACAGGAGAGACTGACCCGTCCTGTTTGTCTAAAGGAGGAAGTTTGTCTAAATTGAGGAATTCTGAGGTGTGAAGCAACATGAAAGAAAGGTGCTCTGACCTGCCACAAAGGAAGTTAAAAGAGATGCCAAGACTGAGCAGTGTGTAACAGGATTGTCAAGCTATAGGACAAAGCATGGTTTCCACAACTGTTGCCTCTTCTATAGTTGAGAGTCTAACACTTTATCCATATCCCAGCATAACCCAGGATATGAACAACATGATAAGCCTCCATGCAAAAGCATTTATGTCAATATAAGGAGAATCAGAAGATCCCTTTCCAAGCAGACTGTGTTTAACAGAGCAGAGGACGAGACGGAGTTGCTAGGGGAACTCACCTGTCTGTGTAAGCTCTCCCATTTCACACAGGGAATGACTGGGGAAGTGAGGCAGGCTGCTCAGAGAACCATCCATTTGGGCTGCAGACCCTTTGGACATATGCTTAATGAAGGCTTCAAGCTGAGGATGAGAAGGTTTCCTAGAGAGATAAAAAAACAAAATGTGAAAACTTCCAAAAGTGCATGGGAAAGCAGCTCGAGAGAGTCAAGTATTCCAAGTATGTCAGCTCAGAAGTTTCATGATGTGAGGTTATTTCCCACTGAGACAACATCTGCTCTTACTTAGGACTTTTGCAAGTATGGCAAAGAAATCTAACTACTTTCTATCTACCAAAGAACTACAGGGAAAAAGATGTCATGTTAAAATTATGATAGCTTTCACTAAGTAATTTAGACCAATTTCTGGGAGTTGCGTTGAATTCAGTCACTAATATGTTATGAATTAAAATGAAAAAGAAAATATTAAAAAATCCTTAAGAAAACCTCCAAACCTCTCTCCAGTTCCTGAAGCACTAATGGTCTTTAACAGCACAGCCAAAGGCAGTAACAATCTAAAGGAGTTCAAATGCAGTACTTAAAGTAGATGATCTTGAAGGAATCCTCAGATTTTGTAATGTATGACCATAATCTCAGCTCCTACTTCCTCCAGCCTCAAATCAAATAGCACATGTAGTCTCAATTCTGTGGGACTGGCAAGCAGTACCCCTGGAATCATTGTTTGGGGTACTACACTTTAATCCAGGAAGAAAGAAGCCAGCACTGCTGGACACATACACACGTAAAATACCCCCATTATGGAAGTAAGGAATGCAGCTGGAAAAGATATTCACTAAAATATCCAAGTTAACTCACTGAAAGAGTTAAGAGTTAAGTCACTGAAAGAACAGTTACATCTCCCACACTGCACTGAAAATTTCAAATACCCCATGGACTCAGCTCACTGTGGTACTGCTGTGCTGAAAGCTACAGGTACAAAAAAGTTCACAATGTAACCTAAAGGTAATCTGAACCTTTAAAAAGTAATTCTGTGATCACATTCCTACAGCAAAAATGCATTACATGAGTGGGGACTTCTTTGCTAAATGTCAGCAGTTATCAAAGGTTACGCAGTCACCTCTCTAATTTTGTGCAGAACTAAACCAGAAACTGCTTGGCAATCCAACTCTCCTCCAGATGGTTCTTGTCTTAATAGGATATTCAGCTTGAATACAGTTAATATATTCTCATGTTGCTTAAAAAAATAAATACCAAATAAATGCTCTCAGGGATCTCATACAAAACTCTGGGATTCGTGTTTACTGCTCATATTTACATTTGTTAGAATGATAAACTATTTTTGATATAAAAACCTCAGATCTTAAAAAGAAACCCGAGTTGCAGGATGCACCAGAGGGAGCAGTAACACCACTAAAGCAGGAATGAGAGTCTGCAATCGAAGTTTACTGGGACAAAGACATCCATGCTTACTTAGAAGAGCCAACTGAGAAACTCTCATACATGAGAGGACCTCTTGCAGAGCCTGCATACACAGGAGGGCTCATAAGAAACAGTGTCTGTCAACAGAAAGGTAGCTCATATCATTTTATAAAACTTGAATTTTTCCTTATTTAATTTCTTTTCAGGAAAAAAAAAAAATCCTGGCAGGAAAATGTTATAATTATGCCACTAAGAACTGCCAGTAAGAAAAAAAATCAAAATGAGCCAAAAAGCGTAATAAGATTAAAAATCAAACTAATTATTTCATTAACTTCATATTAAAGGAAAACCAGCCAATTTAGGATATTCTAAATCCACAGCTTCTTCTGTATATTTTAACAGGGCACCTGAAGATTAGCATTTGCAAAGCAGAAAAAGGAACAAAGCCTGGTTTATGTTTCTGAAGCAGTGGATGCTTTCTGTTGTAGAATCATATATTAGAAGCTTATTCCAGCTCCAGATGAAAATTTCCAACAGAACATTTTGTACATCACACTGTTTTCACAGCCCAGCAGTGAAATCTAAAAATGGAATTAAGTTGAGAAAATTAAATTACACCCATTAACAAATGGCTTGTTAAGCTTATTACAGAGGTAGCAGGCTGAACCAATTTTTTAAATTTTGAACTTTATAAAACTACACTTGAATAAACTGACAATCAAAATTTTCCATAAACTCTCTTCACTTAATTAACAAGCTCTGCAAATATATGTGAAAGAAAACTAAAAGAACATTATCCATTCTGCTTCTTTTGCTGCTTTACTTACAAAAGCCTGGAAGAATTCTAATGGAATCAAATCTGTGCTAATAAAACTGCCAGCAAAAACTTGTGGGAAGAAAGAAAGAAAAGAAGAAAGAAAAGTATTTATCTGTACTTTGCAAAAGGATTTTTCTGAAAAAATGGCAGGCAAAATAAATTAACTTTCAAAACAAAATCACAAAAGGGATGATAATTGATTTTATATCCCAGTGTATTAATAATATTAGACATGGAGATGCAAGTTACTTAACTTTGGATTACACTGTATTTAAAATGAACACAAGATAAGCACATGCCTGCAGAAATGCATTACGAAATATGGATATCTTTCTGAATAGAAATTCAAAGTTTACTTCTTCTTAAACAGATATCCCTGTACAACTGGGCAAACAAACACCTATTTTTCTCAGCAGCAAGATTTGCAGCAGCACTCAGGCTCCCAGCTGACAAAGCATTCCCCCTCCTGCTCCAGGACTTGGCTTTTATTTAGAATATGAATCCTCCTGTTGAATTGGCCAATTTACAGATGCTGCAGGAGATGGAGTATCCAGGCAACACGGCTGAGGCTGCTGGGGCTGCTGGAGCAGGAAGCAAAGGAAATTGCTCAGTTACACAGTTGAAAAGGCTGAATTATCCTTTAAATTTTATTTCCATAAGAGTAATCAGAAAATAAAAATTAACTAAAGACTTATCCTTCTGTAATTTTCCTGGTCTTACAATGGCAGGCCACCACATTTGCGAAAGGTAGGAATATAAAGAATATTTCAAATTTTGTCAGAAAATGGAACAGCTTTTCATTTAAACCAAATAACAATAGCTACACTTCCCAGTTGTAACATTTAGTTCTCATATTTAAAATCTGTTAATTTGCCTTTTAATGATTTTTATTTGTGTACAGTAGAATACATTTTATCTGTACAAAACAGAGGATGCTTCTTTTCCCTCAAATAATTAATTCAGCTGATATTTTTGTTATTTGCAACCTAAGCACTGGGATAATAGATCCTAGACTGAATACTCTGGTCTTCATGCACTGGCATTAAAAGGGACCAACATTTAAATCTTTAATCAACATTTAAATATCTTATTTGCAAAGGTGTTAGAACGCTTTAATATCACCTTTTATTGCCACACTGTAACTAGTGTACATGGAAACAAATATTGCACAACTATTTGAACTGTATTATATATTCCTGCCAGGAACAGAGCTGGCCTCCTTCAATAAAATTTCCTTTTTCCCTGAGGAGTTGATACAAAAATGCATGGCAAAAGCTGAGAGGACCAGGCTTCTCACAAGGAGCTGAAGAGCCCTCAGTGCATCATTCAGTGAGTAAATGTGACCCCACCAGGCTTCAGACACACAGAAATCACTTCTCTGTAATCACACAACACAAGGTTCTGCCTGCAAACCATACCAAGAGTGAGTCCCTTTCTCTTTACTTGAAATGCAAAAAAATCATTTTAGAACTTCAAGCAAAAATAACATCTATTTTCTGTGAAGTTCAAGTAGGCAAAAGAAAGTGTGAGATCAAAGGACTGCACTGTGTGCTTTTTAGAAAACAAATGAATGGAAGGAGCCACTAAACCAAACAATAGATCAGTTAGTCTATAAAAGAGATCCTAAGGCAGTAGTGGTACTGTTGGGGATTATTCATTCATAAAGGTCTCTCAGCTTGTACATTTTTATAACAAACCCCACAGTGCTCCCCTGGCAGGGACTTGGAGGGAGAGGATCTGTGAGGTCCCTTCCAGCCCAAACCATTCTATGGCTCTATAATTCTGCTTCACTGCTATGTGAATTTTTACAGAGGCCTCAGGAGACCTTTCCTCACCTGATTCTGGTCTGGATCCTACCTTGACCTCACTCCAAGTCTAATCCACACCCCCTCTAGCTCACAGTATGATACTTGTCTCATCTCCCACCCCCCAGCTCATCTTTGTGGCAGCTCCAAAACATGTGCATATTGAACCTAAAATTTCAGTATTTGTTACTAAGCTTCTTATGATTAACATCAACACCTTTCAAAATGTCTTCAAGTATATGCTAATTAACCCAGCTTACTATCAAATTATAGCAGTCTTCTGAAATCATTTTAGCATCTTCCAAAAAGCGTTTCTTCTCTCTCACATACAAACCCGTGAAGAAACACTGTGTATTTTTTACTTTTGACACTATAAATGTAAGCTTTGTAAAGAAAAAAATGTGTGGGATTCATTTATTTCCCCCATAAGCAAACACTACAATGAACAGATTTTCATAACATCATACAAGGAATTTTCTTGAGGAAAAAAGTATGCATTATTTGGTTCCCTTTGGAAATTTGCATCCAGAACAATAAAAATGATAACAATAATATTAATTGAAGTTTTAGGGAAGAAATCTCCAAAGCATTTAATCCATTTGCTTATATTCATTCCACACTTACATGTCACAATCCATAATTCACAAAACCCAAGCGTGACCTCAAGGCTATTTTGCATATCCATTAGAAGTCCATGGGGCTGTGGCATAATCTGCTTAATTAATGAATTCCATCAGCTGAATGCCAAGTCAAATAAAGAGCAGCCTGCATATGAGCAGCTTGCTTATCTGCTGTTGTAAGTCCAGAAAGCTTAAACAAGCCAGACTTGCCATCAGACATCTCAACTCAACTGCACAGCAGCAAGAAACCCTCAGTTCAAAGGCAGTGATTACAGACCCTGTCACACTCCCCATATAAATACATTTACAATCAAGCAACACATTTACATCACAAAGGAATATAAGCCTGACAGCCAAACACAGCAAATAACTTCCTGATGCTGAAGTAATGAATGTTCCATTCAAAACAATGGTTTAATTCTACCTTTATTCAGTAAGGTCAGCTCCAACACATCCAGGCAGAATGGTGCAGAGCCAACTCCTTTAATCTTTCTGCTGCCCTAAATTAGGAGAGGAGATGCTCTTTTACATAAATTTTGTTCTTGAGGAGACAAGGTCTTTCGGTGGCTGTGAGTGGTAAGGGAGATGTCATTTACACAGTGATGCCTTAATGCCTCACAATCAGTGAGAGCCCCAGGTATCCTCCCTCTCTGGCTCCTCGAGCCCAACTGCTCCACTTGGTCAAAGCCACACTACTTCCTTGCCATTTAGTTTTTCTGACTCCAGGGCCTTCATGTTGTACTCTTTGCCTGAAACTGAAGTGGAAACAGCTATAAAAGCTTTTTTGACAAACACAAAACTGAGGTCTCATGTGGCATACTAATATTGAGAAACACAGCTATTCATCTACCACTGTCACTTGCAGTTAACATCTTTTCAATAAAGCTTTCTCACACACAATTCCAGCATGACAGATATTAAGAAAGATCAGAAGATCAGAGCCTTCAGGAACTGCAATAGAAATCTGGATCATATTTCTCTACTTAGTATTTCATGCTGAAAATAATCTCACCCCTAATTGGCAGATCATTAAAAATGTTATCATAACTATTAGCAAATGATTCATTTTCCATCTTCTTAGAATTATTTTTTTTCATTAAAGTAACTCCCACTCCACTCTGCAGCAGAGAGAACTGAAGCTTGGTCTCCTCTCTGCAGCCTCAGGATTGCACATCTCATTTCAGTTTTCAGAGGGCACAAACTGCTTCTGGGGTTAGGTACCTCTCAAGGAAATCCAACTTCTCCTGCAGGATGTTGGACCAGACCCCTGGATGATACCTCTTGACAAAACAAACATTTTGGTGGAAACACAGAAAAGCAGCAACCAGTGTCCAGCCTCTTGGGCTGCCTGCACACACCGCTGGATGGTGCCCAGTTTTTCATCCACCAGAACCCCCAAGTCCTCTGCAAGGCCATTCTCAGTGATTTCTCCCAGTCTGTACCCACGTCTGGGATTGCCCTGAGCCAGGTGAACCTCTTGACCCTCTTGAGTTTCTCATGGACCCACTTCTCAAGCTGGACACAAATTTCTTGTCACTGCAAACTTGCTGAGAGTGCACTCTAATTCCAGTGCCCATGTTATTAATGAAGGTACTGCGGAGTGCTGGGCCCAGAGCCCTGAGGGACAACACTCATCACTGGCCTCCATGAACACAGAACTGCTGATCACTTCTACATCCATTCAGCCAATTCCTCATCCACTGAACAGTCCACCCTTCCAGTCCACACCTCTCCAGTCTGGAGGTAAGGATGCCATGAAAGCCTTACAGAACTCCAGGTCAGTCTTCCCTTGAACACCATCTCAGGCACCGCATCGTAGAAGGCCACCAGACTGGTCAGGTATATTTGCCCTGAGTAAAGCTGTGCTGGCTATCCTGGATCATCTCTTTGTCTTGCACTTGCCTAAAAATTCCTTCCATGATCCTCCCAGGCACTAAGGTGAAATGTTCTTTCAGCATGGTGTTAACATTTCCAGCACACCAGAGCAAAGCCATTTGTGAATAAAGAAATAATGTTCTTGCTTTTCTTGTGTGGAATTAAAGACAGAGGAGATTCTATGCCATTCTGGAAAAAAGTATTTATGGTCCCTCTGCACTGCTTTGTGTACCTACTGTACCTCTTTTCCTGATTAATGTTTGCAGGAACACAACAAACAGCCCTCAGCCATTGAAATCTCCACACCTGACACTGCTGAGGGCACAGCAGCATGAAGGGGTAGATTTTCCCAGAGGTTTTGCTCACATATTTTTAAGTTCACCAGTAAGTCCCCTGTTGGAAAATCATCATCATCCTACTTTAAAGTACTTACATGTAATCAAACAAGCCATGTCAAAGGTTGGCAAATTACATCATCACTGTTTTTTCCTACTGTTGTACACTATAACTCATCTTTATCAATGAATAGAATCTAAACAAATAAAGAAGGTTCTGCCACAAAGAAGCAATTCATATTGTATCTGCAGCTCAAAGTGATTCAGGTGTGAAAACAGCTCTCAGCAGCCTACAAAGACATGATGTTAGACAAAAGCACGGTACTGAAGCAGAAAGGAAAATGATGTGTTAGTGGCAGTAAATAACAAATAACAAACAAATAACTAACTTGTGACAGATCTAAACAAAGAGAGGTAACTACAGGAAAGGGGTAGTTGTCATGTAGCAAAAAGCTTTCTGTTAACTTGTATTTTAATAGTTAAGTCTACAGCTTCCATTTTTCCTGAATTTTCACACAAATCATTAAGGGAAAACTCTGATAGCCTAAATTTCTGAAGAGTAGAAGCAAAAATAATATAAAATACAAATATCAATTTTCTTATGGTAGTGCTGGACTGCCTGAGAGCTTTTTGTATTCAGATGAAGGGAAGCGTGCTGAGCTGAAACGGAAGAGATCATCTCAAACAATGCACTTACATTTTCAAAATGTAGAGACTTATCCAAGAGGAATGGCAACCTAAATATCCAACTAAATAGCTTTTGCTTTTTAAAGAAATATGAAGAACTTACTCTGGTCTGAAGTGGTAACATGCAATAGTTCTTGTTTCAAAGAACATACTGTGCACCACTGACCCAGGGGTTGTTTTTTTAAACCATGGCAATACACAATGGTCAGAAGTCACAATGTACTTCAGTGGTACACAAATTGTTTCCTGAAGAGGAAAAAAATTACTCTCAAGCAAAAAAAGAGCTTAGTAAAGACAAACTCCAAGAATTTTACCTGCTGGGCACCAACATACAGTCGATGTCAGGTCTCTTTGTCTTGGGAATGGCATACAGAGGATACCTATCACCATGACGAATCAGCACTTGAACTGACACCAGCTTAAAATAATGAGGGGCATGACCTAAAATGAAGAAAGAGAAAACAAAACAAAAAGAAAAAAAAAGAAAAGAAAAAAAAAAAGAGAAAAAAATGTTACCTGCATCCACTTTCTTTAATTGAAGAAAAGCTGGTATTACCTTGATAGCTTTGGTGTTGCAATGAAAGAAAACACTCCTAGGGAATTACAATTTACCAACCCAAGAAAGACTTCACTTCAGATTGCAAGACAAGTTATACAACACTGAGGTTCCTAGCACATCACCACAGTACATCTGAAGTCCTCCAACCACACAAAATATTACTCAAGCACTGAACTCTGTCAACACAATAAGGTTATTCCACTTTTATAACGCCTCTCTTCTGGTCCCCATCATAATGATGGATTTTGCAGCATGTCTAATCTGGATCTTTTCTATATACTAGTCTGAGATTTATTTGATAACCATTATTTGGATATGCTAATGGAGGACTTCATTCAAACTTGCTGCAGCTGCTGTGGAATAAAGAATGCAAATATGCCTTCAAGCTGACCACATCTAATGGCTTACAACTCCAAAAATAATTATTTCTGTGGGGTTTTTCTTCCAGAATTCCAAGTCAACTGTCTGAAATGCAGCTGATGTGTAACAAGAATTACAATTCGAATATTGAATATCTGTATCTCTCCCGACCCTCTCAGTTTTAGGCCTAGAGCTGCACACAGACCAGTTTCCAAAAATCAACACAACGAAGAGGATCCAAAGGGAAGGAAAGAGCAGCAGCATGTATTGAACAATTTAATGTAATTCAGTGACCAGCTGGCATTTGCTCCACCTTCTCCAAGCAGCAATGAACTGGCAATGCACAGAGCTATCATTTCTAATAACAGCACGAAGAAACAAGCAGCTAACCTGAGGTCTGCCCTCCCAAAGCCTACCTTCCATGCTGCGCTCAGCAATGCTGGGAATATTGCAGTAAACATGAGCTTCATAAACGGGGTCTATGACAGGAGGCTCCGTCAGCAAATCAGGCATTATTCTCTTCCGGCTCTTAGGATTCAACCCATCTTCCCTGACAGGGTTTACTGGGATTAAATGCACTGAAAGATACAAAACATACACCATATACCTTCAGGAGACTTCAGGGATATATAGGATTATGACTTTTTTATCATTATTTTTAAGTAATTATGCACAAAGACTATGGTTTCATGAAAGGATGTCTCCCAGTAGTATGCAGCAACCTCATTGTGATTACTTTTCCTGATTTACATAGCCCAGAAGAGCTCTTTGGCTAAGTCAGTGCTTGGCTAAGACTTCAGGAACAGATCTGGATGTAGAACAACTCTGAGTTTTGCACTCTTACTGAATCTGCTTTTTCTATCAGTCTCTCAGCATGAATCACAGAAAAAGTGCCACAATAGGTCTGGCTGTCTCTCATCATTTTAACTTAAAAACTGACATTGAAGGACATCAGCAAAAGACACAGCACAGCTTTGATGAGGGTAGTACAAACCACTGGGAAAACAAAGTAGTCAAGATTGAATGACTGGATAATTCATCATTTTCCTCATTAATCTCTGCCCTTACACTGCCACCTTGTCAACCCTAAACAATCTGGCTTATTTAAAAAAAAAAAAGCACAGAAAAATGTATTTTTTGGTATGAAACTGAGACTACCGAAAAAATGTGAAACAAAGAAATGCAGTAAACACACAGAGAGGAGAAAGTAACTGAAATACCACATGCTGAAGACCACTACATTTTCTGACATGTAGATGAAAGTTGAAGCATATCTAAATGTAGGGCCAGAGTTGCAATGACCCTGCCTTGATGTGAGAGCATCAGTGAATTTATGAGTATTACCAGACTAGTAATAACAAATGCCTCTATTCTATTTTCTGGAATTTTAATCAGAAGTTTTAGAGGTGAAAAAGAGGAGGAAAAGTGTTCATATTTTTACCCCATTAGTCTTCTATTTTTAGAGGAAAAAAAAAGAAAGAAAAAAGAAAGAAATTATGAGACAACAAATTTCAAAGCAAAACTTTACTAATTCTTCTCTGTCAGTTCCTCAGTTCCATCTTGACTCCCAGTTCCAATTTCAGAGGTGAATCTGTTCCACAATAAGTAGTGGTACAGACCAGGAAAACCAATGAAGACAGCAAACACACATTTTAAGAACGCATAGCCAATAATAAACACAAGCTCTTTATTCTAACACTACAATACATTACGCTTCAAATATTTTTATGTGGTTACTCTTTGTCTGCCAAAACCACAACCCAAGCATTTTCCACAGCCTTGCTAGTGCTGTTGACAAGGTCAAAATACCTGCCAAGTGCAGTGACTTGAAACTTTTCATTAAGCTGTTTCAGATTTTGCTTTCAGCTGTGTTTGGTGAGAATATTAAACAGTAATTTTGACTTTGGACACTTTAATTGTGGAGCTCAGCTGACATTTCAGCCTTTATCTACCAGATTGACTTTTTAGCTCCTTGCTTACACTCACAGTGTAGTGAGACACTGCAAATGCCTGCCCAAGAAACTGGCAAAAACACAGAGCAAAAACACACACTATCTGTCAGAGGCTGGGAACTCTGGGCTTTGCAGTACATTTGTACCTAGGGTATAAATCCCAAACCCAAGAATGTCACACAACAGAGACTGGACTCTGCAAATAACAGCACTACAGACAGCAGCTCTCCACAGTTCAAACAGCAAATTACAGCTACATTCTAATGGCCAAGTTTCCAACCCAGAAAAGGTTACAGCAACAACTCCCAGCTTTCTGCAACAATTCTCTCTAGAGCAACCCACAAACAACACTGCTTCTGCTCCCCTAATGTCACAGACACAGAGCTGGCTGAAGTGCTCAAGAGGTCATGCAGCTCAAGTCAGCTTAGACACAGGAATGTTTCAGCAGACAGGGGAAACCATACCCCAACAGCAAAAACCCCAGGTCAACACTGATCCTAAATTAAGTTGGGAGATTTAAAAGCAAAATAAAGATCCTATTTTTTTCTGTTTTTAATCTAAGGCAGTTTTAACCACAAAAACCCTGAACAGATCCCATTTTTGTACTGAGACTATTAAGGGCAGAAGCTAACAGATGCATACTTTGGCTTTTTAAAATCAAGTGCCTATGATTCCTGAGGCCAAACACCTTGTTTGCAGAAAGCAAGTCTCATTTCTAATAAGACTAGTTTAATAAATACCATAACACTGCCAGACAAATTTAAGAATAAGGAAAAGCACTAAGTCTTACAGAGAAGCATCTACTCTCTTTAAAATATTAAAAATAAAACTGAAGATTAATAATAACATTGAATATTAAGAACAACACTGAACACTAAGAATAAAATTGAATAATAAAAATAACACCTGCCAGAATACATGTTTGCAGTTTAAAAAGCAACTGAAAGAACACTTTAAAAGGAGACTCTTAAGTCAGTACAGCAGGTATGGGTACAATTTAAGAATATTTTTGACTGGAAACAGACTCAGAGATTAGAAATATCAATAGTTCATGTCATAGCTGGTAAAACCTGTCCTTCTACAGTGAATATGCTTGGCCTATACAAGGGAGAAGAAAAGACACGAGAAGCAATATTTGCTTTTAACACACTGGAAATAACGCATATTGGGGGAAAACAATGGCAATCAAACTATACCCAAACACATGGGTCGTCTGTTTAATGTAGCTAAATAGAAAAAGGAATTACATGAAGTGGGCTCCAGTCTCTGCAGTCTCCTAAAAATCTCCACCAGGTGCACAGACAGGAAAATAACAAGTATTTCAGAGCTGGGGGAATGGGGATACAGGAGGGATGAGGGGAACAACAGCGAAGACTGGCAACACAAGACCAAGGAGAGATGAATCTCAGCTGGAGCTGCCTTCCCATTGCTCAGCACAGTCACTCTGAGGAGCCCACCCAGCCACACTGGTCCTCCTCACCCCCTGGTAAAGCTCCTCAGAAGCTGGAACATTCCTGCAGTTTCAGAGCTTTAGGATGAGGATCTCAAGCAACACATCCTCTCTGATGAAATAACAGAGGTATTTTCCATGCTCTGAGGTGTTTCTCAACTATTTCCTCATCTCCTACCATTCCCTGGACACTGTTAGTGCCTCATGCATTTATGATGCTCTCTCCTTCCTCCCTCCCTTCTCATTTCAAGTACTTGGCCTTCATGCTCCCTTGCTGTCTTCATTTATCTCCCTTCCTTGCTGTCCAGCCCTGCTTCACACACCTCACCCTCTCCAGCTCCCTTTGCACACAAGGCTCAATTTGGTCCTTCATTTTTGTACTCCCTGTACCACACAGCAGTTCTCTAAAGCTCCTTGAAGAAGAGCTGACTGTGTCTCTGTATCCAAGTATTTCCCTACTGAAAGTCCTCCTCCGCAGTGTCAATCCCACCTCTGTCTCCCACACGGGTTTTCTGGCCTGTTTGTAACAAACTACAAACAAAAACCTACAGTATTGAACTGATACAGCTCAGAGAGGAAAGGGGAAAAATAAATAAAAAATAACTTTTAAAAAGCCCCTCACATGAAGCTGAAATTTGTCTTTTTTTCATACTCAGTTCTGCTCTTCCAGATGTAAATCATTACAAGGTCAGAATACTGCTACACAGTTTTCACATTGTTTTTTACAGCTTAGCACTATTTTATGTGAATTTCTCTATTAGTTCACAGTAACATGCACTTTCCCAAAACAGAAGGCTGCCAGTGTGCACACAGTCATACTTAAATCTATGATTAAGAGAGGTTTTGAGAAGGATTTTTCCACTGCTGTGCCTTTCAAAGCTCATGTTTCACTGCAACAGGAACACAACAATGTAAACCAGAAATGTAACAGATTATTTTGATGTGCATTTACCGCAGCCAAAGCAGTTAATAAAATAGATCTGAAACATATTTCATCATCTAACTGGAAGCTTTGCCAACACTGAAACTATAAAGAAAATGGACATATTATTACAGAGGTAGCTTGACAACAGAAAGGGAAAGAGAACACATTTTATTTCCCAATATTCATAAACTTATTTTTATAACTAAAGAAGCTACATAAAAACGACTTTGAAACAATATTTTTGAATAAGTTATAGTAAGGAAAAAAAGTAGAAAGTTAAGAAACAATAAAAGGAAGGAGATCAATGCAACAGAGTCCCAACAGGCTAAAATTATTTGAAACGTGAAATAAATTCTACTGCTGTAGAATCACTCATTCAAGAATTCTTGCAGCTCCAAACTCAGATTATTTTTTTAAGTCAACACAATTTAAAAGGAATAAAATCCAAATTCTGATACTAAGTCTAAACAAAAAACCTCCAGGAACCTTTACTTTAAATCACACCACAGAACCTGAAGACCATATTCTAATAAAATGAAGTCAACAGCTTGTCTAATAAATGTGTTTAAGAACAAACCCAGTGGCGTCTCAAACATTACGAGTATGGTTTTATTTCCAGTGTACCTTAATTAGGACCTATTTAAAGAGCAAAAAGTTAAAATGTCTGACTTCCATACTCCCCTCCACCAAGTTCCTGAATGCTACAAAATATATAAACCCCCCAAAATATTAGACAAGTAGTTTCCAAGCAAGAGAGACAATTGTTCAGAAGTGCTTTCAGTTAAATGATTGCAACAATTCCTACACAGCAACTAATCCCCTCTGGAAAAATGTCAAGTTTACCAAATCAGATATTGTGCTCAGAAGCCTAAGCAGGAAGCCAGAAGTGCATGAGGTCTACAAAACTGACGTGAATTTGACAGAATTCAGTACAGCAGAAAACCAAATACACAACAAAGTGCAATTCATGTAAAAAGAACACCAAATTAAACACTAGATCACTTCATTAGCAATTTCTCTCCCTCCTGCACTCCTACTTTCAGCTTGAGATACAAAAAGTAGCAACACTGTTTACCAAGAAGAAACACATTTATCCATGAAAAAGAATCAACAACATTTACCTAAAATCAGAAAGATAAGCAATAAAACTGATTTCCACTGCTGTTTTCCCTTGTAGCTCCAAACAGCCTGAGAAGCAGCAGCACAAGTAGCCATGGTAGTCTCAATTTTCTGCCTTAACAGAGACCTGAA